TGATGATGTTTTATGTAGTTCTCTAAAACTCAAATCTGGGCAAGGAATAAAAAAGTAAGTAGCCTTACCACAATATTTTTTTAGAAAAAAGAAAAAGCATAGCAAAAAGTTAGCACCAAACGATCTCGAAGTGGCTGTCAATACGTCTGAAGTGAATTCAAACGATGAAACTGCCAAGGAAGCGAAGAATTCAAAACCTATATATGCAAATCTAACTAAGTCTCAAGTAGAGTGGGAGAAACGTAGAGACAAACGTATATTGGAATCTGTGCTGTCGAAGGCAGATAAATCGCATAAACAAAGGATAATTGAATTTAACAACTACCTGAGCACTCTCACTGAACACTTTGATATACAGAAAGTTTCTTGGACTAAATAATTTTCGAGTCTCACGCGTTATAAGATATTCTGTATGATTTCACATATTTATCCACATGTATTTTGTCTCAGACTCTCAAAATGTAATTTCATCGCTTCTTGTAAACATTTGCGAATTGTGTTTAACTGTAATAATATATAACTTATTGCCTCAATTTCAATCATCGGGTTCGGGCATGGGTGTCACACATTAATAACAGGTAAGGGATGATGATTTACCTTATTTATTACATTCATGTTCATGTACTCTGTCACACAAACTGTAGCTCAAAGCTCCGAGTACATAAATCCATACATGGTTAATAAACTAAATCATCAATCGGCTTTGGGCCACTTCGTTTCTATTGGGGTTAGTGATACTATCCCGTAACACAAATCGAACTAGGTTGATAAGTATATGAAAACGCTCACTGACTAAAAATTGAGTAACCACTATTCAACCGCTTCACCGTTGCACTATAAAGGTTAATGTAGCTGTAAAATTTCAACCATGTTATTTATGTTCACTTCACTCAGGTACAATATAATACGTACCAAACGAATAAGTCGAGAAGAGTCTAGCGGCCAAAACAACACTAGGTCACTACTTTTGGTTTGCATCATGCAGAGAGATTTAGACTAATAAAAGAAACTGGAATTCATAAGTCCAGTTGAAGTGAGACTATCTCGGAAAAAGACGACGCCCTCATCTGCTCTCAGCCCAGACTTTTAGAACGATGGGCTGAATATTCTAAGGAGCAGTTCAACTGGTCTTCAGCTACTTTACAACTACCCTCCATTCACAGACAGTGTGGATGGAACATTGAAGTAGGTCCCCCAACTCTAGCTGAAGTTCAAAAGGCCATAGTTAATTTGATGCGAGGAAGGGCAGCTGGTCCAGATGGATTGGCTCCAGAGGTCTTTAAGGATGGTGGTCCAATTTTAGCGATTAGGTTGATTAATATTTTAGCTAAACTCTGGGAGTTGGGCGTTATCCCATCTGACTGGTCACAATCACTGATCGTCCTAATATGTAAGAGAGAGTCATAATTATCCTGTGAAGATAGAGGGCTTAGTTTGACTAACAGCACTTAAAATACTAGCGTCAACAATTATCAGTCTCCTAAGATTAGTAAACTACGAGCACGAAAAAATCAGACTGGCTTCAGACCTGGTCGTGGCTGCATCGACCATATATTCACCATTCGTCAGGTTCTAGAACACAGGCATACTTATCGGCGTCCGACAATGGTGGTCTTTCTTGGCTTAAAAGCAGCATTTGACTCTGTAGACCGAGGGGTTCTGTGGAAGTGTCTGTCATTGAAAGGCGTACCTCAGAAGTACATAAACCTTGTGAAGGCTCTTTACTCGGACACTACCAGTCGAGTCAGAGATTATGGCGAACTGTCATCTGCATTTGCAAACTCAAGTGGTTTCCGACAAGACTGTCCGATATTTCCATTTTTGTTCAACTTTATCATAGACCTACTGCTGAAAATAACGTCGTCGACTAAATTTTCAAGAATCGATCTTCCGGGAGGTTCATTTGTCGACCTGGAATGCGCAGATGATATAGTCCTGTTTGGTGAACACGTTGATAAAATGCAGTCTTGGTAGCGCTGAGCAACAATACCAATATGTTTGTAATGCGCTTCTCTCCCTGTAAATGCAAGTTGTTGCTTCAGGATTGGTCTGCGTCAACACCTGAATTAAGGATAGGGAGTGAAGTAGTCGACAACGTAACTTATCTTGGAAGTCTTATCAGCTCTAATGAGTTGGTGTCTGCCAAAATCTCTGCATGTATTGAGAGAGCTCGTTCGGCTTTCTCCAACTTACGTCACCTGTGGCGAACACGAGATATCCGTCTATCAATAGAAGGACGAGTATACTGCACGGCAGTTCGTTCTGTCTTACTTTACGGCTGCGAAACGTGGCCATTAAGAGTTGAAGATACCCGTAAATCAGTTGATGAGGTTGTTAATCTTCATCAACTGAGATGGTTAGGCCACGCGTTACGTATGCCTGAACACCGATTACCACGACGTGCAACGCTAACCGGTGTAGGGGATGGTTGAAAGAAAGTTAGGGTTGGCCAAACCAAAACGTGGCATCAATGCTTGAAGTCACTAACTTCTAGTCTTAGCCATGTTGGTAGATGCAGATTACTTGGTTGGGGTCCGCGTGACTATCGTAACCAATGGTTGGAGACTTGGTGATATGGCTCAGAATCGATCACAATGGGATAGAGGTGTGTACACTCTGTCTTCCCTTAAACTATGAGATTAAAATCGCTTCATATCCTTTTTCCTGTACTCTTTCGTTATATGCAATCTTTCTTTTATACATTACCACCACTGACTTAACTACTTCTATGAATCCGGTGTTCAGCTTGCTGTACTAATGCGGCATGGCAGTTTGAACCGATGCATATTAGTGCCTGGTTCTACGTTAAAGCTGAGATTTAGATGTCTTAATTGACGTTCCTGTGATATTAACTTATTTCGTGATATTACTGACTTCAACAGAATAACTGTAAAATGATACATTGTTTTAACCGGTGAATTAGCGTTCATTAGATCTATCGGGAAATCAGGATTATATCAAGAAGCGAGGGTAAATTACCTACGAGCATATCACATAATTTTTAGTTAGTAGTCACTGAATGTCAGTTGAACGATTAAAATACTCTTAAAACCTTATATGTTTGGTTTGCTAGTTCAACTTTATTTATATCAAAAATGTTAGTCTTCTTTAGTTACTTTCCTATGGTATGCTTGTTATTACGATATGAGTGCTGTCAAGAAAATGAGTTTATTACACCGCTGTAACTACACCTACGTTTGATACGCAATATTTATGACTAGATACCTTCCTTGCTTTTAACTGAGCAACTACTATAACATAAAGAGTGAAGCAATGATGAATAACAGAGCTATTTTGGGACAGTCAGTCAGTGAAGAACGAACACTCAGTTTCATATATTTTATTTTATGAGTCATAACCTTTCGTTTAGGCCACTGTCATATTCTTTTCTAATCGAAAATTGCTTAAGCTACACAGTTCTCTTGTAAATTAGTGAGCAGACGGATAAAATACACGAGAAGGGAACTTTGATGCCTGTCTCTCGATAAACCGATTAGTATATACGTGGTGAACATTCATTAAACAATCGTTTGTGGTATTGTTGATTTTAGGCTGTCTTTCGACTTTATAATTATTAAACTCTGGTGTTCTTGAGTGACGTTCATTTAATTGTGCTACTCAACTTTCATCAAAAATGTACTAGTCCTACTCCAATGATTATAAACGACAGGATACACGTGACGACACACCTGGGACTGGTGACCTACCGGATTTCTAGTTCACATACCGCACCTGTTTTTTTAGTAACGTAGGTAAGGACACAGCTTTAGTTCTCTTAAAAATGCTCATCCTCCCACAACGTTTCTGCATAAAACTGGAGATGTTCATCATGGTTTGTAAAGAAGCAACAGACCACATATTTCCTTAAAAGTATTTATAATGGACTAAATTTGAAAACCAGAGCCGCTTCACCTCAACGTAGGACCTGCGTGCTCTAAAAACAGAACAATCGTTAAATGCTTGAGGGTAAATATCCCGATGTAGCGACTGAACCACGTACGCCATCTATACTAATGACCCGAAAGACAGTACAACCGTTATTGCCTGGTGGTTTTTTGGCTGTAGTTTCATCATTTTAAAAAATTCATAGCTTCAGGCACCTCTTAACAAACCGCGTAATCAAATAAGCACATCAGAAAGACGGACGATATTTCCTTTAGTTTCCCAACATCTGTTTTGATCAAGCACCTATTGTAACTCGATCAATAGAATTCTGTCAACAGCAAAGAATTAGATTAATATGACACTGATTACTAAACAGTCACCAGAAAATTATAAATATCAGTCCTGGAAATCTGTCGCTGCCCAAATGGCTGTGGAGCTAGGTGACGAGGGTTTGAATTCGGAAGGGAATATCAGACCCTGAGACTGGAGGTACGACCTGCTAACGAGTCACAACGAGCAGGAAGCCTAAGCTTAGAGATTTACTGCCAATCATCACCAACCACAAAATAGTTAAAGTATCTTATTATACAGGTTGTAGAAAAAGCTTTGGAAATGTAGTTGTTTATAAAACCTTACTAGCGATTGTGTGTATAATAATTATTTGGTTAAATGCTTAATGGTATATTTGTTCTATCCCCTATCTAGTCGACCTTTAAAACAGTATAATCTTAAGGTACCATAACTAGTAGGTCGGGATGGCATATAGAAACAAAAACATTAAGAATATTAATACCAAATATATAAAAAACAACCGACGATGGTTTTAGAAATATAAGGATTTAGTTAAATTTCGATATTGATAATACAGTGTATGACGATAATTTCATTTTGTGGGGTAATTACCAAAGAAACAACTAGTGCTGAGATGCACGCTAACTTTAGTTTTAGCAACCAACTCCTAATACTGGTTCATATACGCACAATGTAACCCAAATGTAGTCGAATACGTAAAATTGCACTTGAAAATGAGTTACAAATACACAAACTAAGAATGCTGGTTAATTGCTTAGACTACCTCTACTAAGGTTTCAAGAGCTCTCGAGCTTAGCTGATTTATCTGCTGGTGCTACTATCACTAAAATCACACCAATCATTCGCATACAGCTGCAAATGAAAAAACAAGAGCCATTTCTATAGCTCGCGACTACATCGAAGTACTACCATGACTTCCATTCTTTATTCAATAAAACGTAGAATCTAACCCAAAGATGAACAGATTCAAGCTGTAGCAGTCTACAGAATCAAAGTGAAAATTAGGTCGGCACCTATACATAGTATCCAACATTTGTTGCATGTTTCTCAGTTTTAACAAACTTATGCATCTACAGAATTGAATAGTCGCACATGCTTCTCATTTATAATACACACTACTAAATACAAATAAGGGATGATTTTCGAAGGTAACTTGCATCATGAACTAGTCCCAGTTGGATGAAAATCACGACTAAAATATACAAGAATTATCCACCAGTTGACCTTATATAATATGTTAGCAACGGTCTCCTAAAATGAAGCCAGTAAGGAAAATAATTTAAGCACATAATTAAAAAATTGACCACGTGGAAACGAATACATCTGCACAGGATTGCAACGATTATCAACCATGTAACAATGATTGAAAATCAATCTTTAACAGTCAAAGCAAAATACATTAAATGTTATATTTACACTCCCAAACATTTACATCTATTAGTTTGTCGGAAATTCAGAGATATCCATTGCATTGTCTGAAAAATACGAATTAGAACGCATTTAAAAACTCAAAACAACATTGTAAATACAATTGGGAAGTCTATAAGAGTCATGATAAATTAGCTGCTTTTTGCAAGGCACACTGGAGTCGGCGCAGTTTTCTTAGGCAGATGAGAAGTGTCGTTAACAATGACTTAGTAGCTGGCTATAGGTTTATACCTAGTCTCTAATAGAAACATTATTTGCGTCGCACGGAATGGCAATTTTGAGGTTAGGCGTGATATTTGGAAGAGGGGGCAAATCCTTTGGTGAAACATCAACTAAGGCTGTTAAGACATGTGTCAATAATGGCTGACCACAACTTACCTTGACGGGCGATGTTTAATGGCATAGTCGTAGGTTGAAAAAAAGCCAGGGGCGGTAAAACTAGAACATGGTACCAGTTCATTAATTGGTGACTTGACTCCAATTCACTGGTTGGTCCGTGCGATAACGGTTATTAATGGATGGAGACTCGGTAACATTGCTCAGAAACGTTCGCAATAGTGCGGGTGCATCCAGTCCTTATCTTCCAATCGATCTTGAATTTGAATATTTTTTCATAGACTTTTTTACTTTGTTTTTCTTATTAGAATTGCTACAACATTATTTTTATCTCTTGTCGTGCTAATATGGTACAGAAACTTTGGCCAACGCATATTTGTTCACGACTGTGTTGGTATCTGTCTCAATAGAAAGCTGGATAACTACAAATGAGGTATTTAAACACGCTGGCTCAATATAAAAATGGTATACTTTGGTGACATCGTATTAAGCGTTAGCCATTCTATCATTGTTGAACAATCAGTTGAATGGAACTCGCCAACATACGTTAACTTCCCTGATCAAGAAAAAGCATTTGACAGTGTGGATAGGAGAACCTTATGAAGCCTTATTTGACACTACAGTGTACCTGAGATCGTCAACAACAGACGAGATTCATACGACGGATCACACTGCAAAGTGGTGCATACAGGGCAGCTAACAGATTGATGTGAACAGAGAAACAAGAAGCCTTGACAAACTGTGGAATCTATTTTTTTGGACGTTATATCATTTAATTCAAAACTTGTAAAACAGTAATATTTATTTTTGTTTCTACTCTATTCTACAGATCATAAGCTTTCGTTTGATGCGTAATTCACTGCCATAGCCCTTTCTGTTCTAAAACTATTGTAATTTAAACGTAATATTTTGTATTCTATTTCCCGCGCTAATCTCCAGTTTTGGACATAATTATATTTTCCTAATTATTGTACGTCGTGCTCCGGTTAGTCATCTATTTATTCATGTACCTTTTTACACTGATCTGAAATCGGGAACCAGATCAGAATTGGTTATAAGTCGAGTAGTGTCCCAGTTGAATTGTCTTCTCTCACTTGTCAGCCAATCAGGTGATAGAATAGTTTTCTTCTTTCTACCCTACTTCGAACTCACGCATACTAGCCTCAAGGTTAAGCTAGTCAGCCTATCGCGTTAAAATCTTAATCTAGATTAGACAAGTTACCCTCAGAACCAAAAGTGGGTAGACAGATTAAGGACGTAACACAGATACATCCCAAGTGAGCATCGAAGTCAGAAAAGGCTGTTTACTCTCGCCCTTTCTCTCATATAATGGTTGACTGGATTATCAATACTACCATGTCTCATGGGAAGCACGAAATACAATGGAGCGCTTAGATAGAGCTAGATGATTTGAACTTCACACATAACGTAACCTTCCGCTCTCATACACAGTAGCAAATGTAAGTGAAGACAGTCAATGTAGCAAAAGTCTCTGAAGCAGTAGGCTTTAACATACACAGGGGAAAAGCAAGATCCTGAAATACAACTCAGAGAACAGCAACCCAATCACACTTGATAGAGAAAATATAGAAACTTTCACGTACCCTGAACAGCACCATCGATGAACAGGGAGGATTTGATGAAGATGTGAGGTCAAGGATCGGCAAAGCAAGGACGGCATTCCTGTAACTGGAGAACATCTACGACTCAAAACAACTGTCTGTCAACCGACATCAAAGTCTGAATTTTCAATGCAAAGATCAAGATGGTTTCATTGTACGGAGTTTAAACATAAAGGACTACTACAACCATCATTAAAATGGTACAGGTATTTATGAACAATTGTCTATGCAAGACACTTCGTGTCTGTTGGCCCGACACCATCAGCAAAAACATAATATGTCAGATAAGAAACCAGCTTCCAGCTGAAGTAGAATTTAAGGAAAGATGTTGGAAGTGGATAGGAAACAGATTGTGAAAATCATTAGACTGCATCATGAGGCAGGCGCTAACCTGGAATCCTGAAAGCAAAAGGAAAAGTAGAAGACCAAGGAACACATTGCTCCCGGAATTGGAAGCAGACATCAAAAGAATGAATGACAGTTGGAAACAACTGGAAGGGTGAGTTGAAGAACCTTAGTCGGTGACCTATGATCCCGCAAGGGGTAATAGGCATAAGTAAATAGGGCAGAGAAAAGAAGAGGATATAAGTAGCTAAATCCACAGTATTTAAGTCAAGTCGCGAATGATTACCACAGCGCACGAACGTATCGATTGGCGGTAGAGACGGGCATTGTATCACTTTTGGAAAAATGATACTTCTAAACTCAAAAAATTTGTCCATACAAAAGCTGCTTTAAAAACAAACGATGGTGGTGAAGCTTAGCGATGCTTATGAAAGAATGTTTCTTATGTTGAGAAATTCAGATTGCTTCGTAGAAAATATTAACTTACCTTTTAAAGATAAATCGAGATTTTCTTCCACAGTATCAGTATACGGAGGCTCCGTGTAGTAAGTGATTTTTCCACTAAAAAGAATGTCACAGCAACAGGTTACTTACATAATCCAATCATTAATTACAGAACGCGCTGCCATGGTGGTGTCTGGAATACCACCCTTTTTCATTCGACCCAAACGGTGTGCTAACTTAACTAGGAACTCTGAAACATTATTGTACTCTTCAATCTTATACTTAGAAACCAGTTGCGCTTGTGAACAACGACGCAATATGGCTTCAACAGCTGGAACAGGATCCGGGAGCATTTCTGGCTGTTAAAAAGTTTGAAATAAACAGTTGCAAAATTAGTAGCTGCTGATAAAACGTATTGATAATGTTAACTGAGACGGAACAACTGATGACAAGCTAACATCCTAGATGGTTTCACAAATATGAAGTGGTAAACACTGTCTCTTTACTCCTAAAAATTGATTTCAAAGCGTGTATTTTGGACAACAAAAAGTATATACAGATGTGAAGTTAATCTTGTTAAAAGTATCCCACTGGAATGGAACGCTGTTTATTATACATTATCTAGCGTTGCTATTTAAAACCCAATAGAAACTGTTATATTCACGTCACAGATAGAATCACAATTCGAAATGTGGATAGTAGAGCTAAATTTAGTGTAAAGTTATTTTGCGATTTCCTTATTGTGTTCCTTGCACTTTTGTCAGCGGCTGGTATTGTAAAATGACGCCGTTGTTTATTTTTCGTTTCTTATTATACTCATATTGACTCCAGCCCAAATGGGATGAAAATGTTTACTTACTTGAACACAAATAGTGGTACAATAGGGCACCAAATAGAGTTGGACTGAGAAATGTAATGTATTTAGGCCATACATTTAGAAAAGTCTGGTCACACATACATGTCAAAATATTCTACATAAAAAATAAACGTCAGTTAAATAAAAGGACTATATTCTCGGGCTTTTATCTTTTCTACAATCATTGATACAACTACTACATCGACTGCGATTTATTGTAATTTCATCGCGTCCTGTTGAATCCTATAGTCAACTGGCCTGACCCAAATTTGTACCGGAGTACACAGTAGTTATAACTAATTACTATAAGCCGACATCCCAAAAGTGAAGTTTGAGCAAAAAACTTTTATAGTATCACTTACTTTTATACAATTTTTTAACACAAGATCTGAAGCATCAGATGACTTTGAAATCAAGGTACCCGGAGTATCGAGAAGAAATAGGTTCTTGTCAATCCGTACACGCTGAGACTGACTAAATTAATAATCAAATAAATACCAACAACTACCGTGTTAAACCGGGAACATTACCACTGACGCACACCTTTTGCCTTTTAAGTGTATTTATGAGTGCGCTTTTGCCAGTATTCGGAAGGCCAACGACACCAACGGTCAAACTAAGACGAGTGTTAGTGTTAGACAGACTGGAGCTTGGATCACGGGAGTAGTTTGCAAGCAACGACAATAATTCAGAAGTTCCGAACCCTTTACTTGGCCTACACAAATTAAAACCTTAAATACTTACATTTTTCCATCTTTCAGAAGATATGGTTTTCCACACGAAAGATGGTTACTCTGGCGTTGCGTATTTGCCTTGAATGTTATGACCGTGTGAGTTTTGCGTAGGTAATTTACCCAAGCCTCGAGATTGGATCGCGGAACAAGGTCTAAAACGGTTACCTATGTAACACTTACCAATCTTATTGATGAGCAAAACCAAACGTTTATTCTCCCTAAGGACAGTTTCTTCTATCTCTGGACAGCGCGTGCCCATTGGATCACGTGCATCCAATACTTCCAATATAACGTCAGACTGGTTTATAACGTCTTTAACATCGTGCTGAACTGTTGAGTGAGAAACATCTTCATGTTTCAGAGACTTATAAGTTTGAGAATACTCTATATTTTTAAGTCTTGCTTCTTCTAGCTAAACCATTTATCAAGAATAATATACGTTACCTTCATTTTTGCTTCGGCAACATCTTTCAGAAAACTTTCTTTGAAGGGTAGAATGTTAGGGACACCAGGATCCTTTCCTGAAATCATTGAGAATTAAAATTATAAAACCCACGATGTCGGTTTAAGTTCTTTTTAGCTTCCTTACGTAACTTGCGGTGATGCTCTTTTACCTAACCAGTATTTGAACAAACATCTATGAATTTACCTTCTTGATAATTTTGTATCGCTTGTGACAGGTTATGCGCTTACTTTTGTTTTCTACAGGCAGAGTTATATTAATACTCATAATTTACTTAAGCATTTCCTGACCATCTTTTAATATCCAAAGCCTAGAAAGGGAAATAGATAGTCACCACGTGAAAATACGACGCAACGTGACCTTGGAGAGATCGTCTTCCCGCTGAACAATGCAAATTATAAAGTTCAGGTTCAACTTGGAAAATTAGGTGAAACATCTGTTACTTGAGACTTGCTTCTGGATATTAAAAGAACAGTTTGATAGTGGGAATAAATGGTTCTTGTTATATTCCTACAAGAAACTGAAGGACAAAACAATTGAGTTGAAAGCAGGAGTGGTCAGTCTTCAGTCTTCAGTCTTCAGTAATAAGGATAGGAGGTCTGTCGACCTATATTAATCCTTGCAGTTTGTAATACTGTGGAGGTCCAATCTCGTTTTGAATATATTAACAGACGGTGCTGATATTACGTGTTCCGGTAGGGAATTCCAGTAATTCACTACTCGGTGCGAGAAACGGAACTCCAGACGTAAACGGTTTGACCTCGGTTTTTGAACTTTCTTCGAATGTCCTCTCAAATGATCGGTTCTAGACGGAAGCAAAAGATAAGACATGTTAATACCAAGGTCATCGTTCAGTATACGATAAGCCAATATTACATCACCCCGTACTCTACGGTAAGATAACGGAAATAAGTTAAGGTGTCTCAGTCTGTCTTCATAAGATAGGCCAGCTAGACCTTGTACCATCTTAGTAGCTCGTCGTTGGACTCTTTCTAGCATATCTGCTTCATATTTGAAACAAGGACTCGCTGCTTGAATCCCGTATTCTAAATGTGGTCGCACATAAATCGGGTATAGTAATCCAAACATTTCATCATCTAAATACTGGAAAGACCTACGAATTGACCATAATACCCTATAGCCTTTTGCAGCAGCAGCCTTACAGTGACTAGTCGTTTTGAGATCATTGCTTAATATAACTCCTAAGTCTTTATGGTTTCTTGCTTTGGGTAGCACGAATCCACGTAGTGTATAGTCATACGATTCATCTGAGTTATTTAACTGCATCACTACACTCTTATTAGGATTTACTTCTAGTGACCACCTGTCTAACCATGCCACCAATGAGCTAAGATCATCCTGTAATACTATTCTATCCGACATACTATGTATGGGTCTCCAAATCTTTATGTCATCAGCGAAGAGTAGAACGGATGATTTTGCTACAGTTGGCAATTCATTTACATAAAGTAAAAAGAGAAGAGGACCTAGGATTGTGCCTTGGGGAACCCCACTTTTTACAGGTACCCACGAGGAGAGAGCCCCATTAACCCTTACCCTTTGTCTCCTGTCATGGAGAAAGTTACTTATCCAATGGACGACTGTGTTATGGATTCCAAAACGTTTCAGTTTGAATTTAAGACCAGAGTGTGAAACCTTATCAAAGGCTTTACTTAGATCTATGAAAATTACATCCACACAAGCATTCCGATCCTTTGCCGCAGCCCACTCTTCTCGTGCAATGAGAAGATTTGTCAAGCAAGATAGGCCTTTCCGAAAACCATGTTGTGCCCTGGAGAAAAGATTTTGCCCTTCAACATAGTTTATAACAGCTGTCCGAATGATTTTTTCCATCAGTTTCACAACTGCACTAGTTAAGCTAACGGGTCTATAGTTACTAACTAAATCCCTACTCCCAGCCTTATACACCGGACTTATTATGGCGTCTTTCCAGTCTCTAGGAAGTCTGGACTGTCTCAGAGACATGTCGAATAGTATCGCTAATGGTTCAGCGATTTCACCTGATATGGCTTTCATAATCCTAGGATGAATATCATCGGGACCACTGGACTTATCAGGTTTGAGATGCTGAAGTAGCCTTAAAACAGTATCTTTCTCAATGACTACAGGATCCATCAGCGAGCCGTCACGGTCACAATGAATCATTGGTCGTTCCTCATTACCGATAGAAAACACTTTACTAAAATATTCCGATAAAGCTTCAGCTTTTTCGGCATCATTCTCTGCTAAGATTAACGGATTGTCTCGTAACAAAAGTGATGGAATTCCATCGCTTCTCTTAGTTCGCCTTTTTATATACGAGAATAACCGTTTCGGACTATATCTAGAATCCCTAACCAATTGTTTTTCGTATGAATGTCTAGTCTTGCTTATTAACGCTTTACAGGCATTCCTAATCTCACAATAACTGGATCTGTATTGTTCTAAGCCAGTAGAGATGAACATATTCCAGTGATTCTTCCTTTTTCTAAGGAGTTTCCTGACCGTATTAGTTATCCATGGTGGACTATTTTTCGGTCTTCGCGGTACCAGGTATGGTATGAACGGGGACGTAACTAGTCTAAATTTACCTTTAAATACAGACCATGCTTCTTCAACTGATATGCCAGTATCTACTAACCAATCTGTCTTAGCAGCGCATTCCTGAATGGCTGATATGTTAGCTTTCCATACATTTGGGCGCGGTGAAACCTGATCGTATAACATGTCCCTAGTTCTAAACGCGAATAACAAAACAGCGTGATCGCTGTTTACTAACGGTAGAAGAATATTTAAGTCGACAATATCCTCAGTCTCATGAGTGATTACCAAATCCAGCAGAGAAGAACCCTGGTTAACACCAAAACGTGTGGGTTGGGATACATGCTGCACTAGTGCATGCTCCATCAATGTTATCAGTAACCTACTATCAAAGGAGTTTATAGATCCTTCTGTGGTCATCTCAGTCCAATTAATATCAGGTGCGTTAAAGTCTCCTATTATCAAAGTAACATTCAAAGTAGTCCCTCTTATTATCTATAAGACTAAGGTCATCGTTGACCTTTCTTTCGAAAGTCTCGGTAGAGGGTTCTTTTACTATAATTTCATGTAGGGAGTCCTGTAGAACTATGATCTACTATGATATTAGTACTGCTCTAATAATAGACCTAATCCTAAATTTGTAGATTCGTCATGATATAACTGCCTAATCTATAAGATCTTACGTGGAAGTCACACCATCGACTACGCCAACTCACTGTATCGTATCAATTACCAATACATGATGAAGAAGAAGGTTAGGTTAGAGAAAGAACAATATATTTAATATGAATAGAGACCACGCCTGCATGGCCGAGCCATGCCACTCGATCAACTCCAGTCCATTCAATTCATTGTTCGCGCCTTCTCCATTTTTAGGTATTTCTCCGCGTTAAATATTGAATATCTATTTTCTGAGTAGTCTCGTGTTCACAGCTTTGTGGATTGTGTGGCTATTGTCCAATGCCACTACACTACTCTCCCACCAGAATCAACGTGATGTTGGTTCGATACCGAATTGGATGGGATCGTCGTGCGCCGAAGGTTACCAAGACTAGGAAGAATCCCCCGGGTAATGATAAGCTGAAAGATAAATCAAAAAGAAAGGCGGCAGCATCTGGTCGGGAAATACATGTAATAATTTTTTTTTAAATCTGCCTTCATGCTTAACACACTTAAAATGACAATTTGGGTGAAGATTATTTGAGCTATAAAAAAAATGGGATTACAATAATAATAATAATAATAAAACAATGCGTGTTAATAGCCGTTGGTTAATAACTTGACGTATAGGTAGTAAGTATTTTGTGTTTAGAAATATTAAATTAATGAATATTGTAGAAATGTTAATATTGGTATTAGTTTTGGTTTAAATTATGAAACCAATTAACAATTATGCTGGTAACCCGTCCATAAGTGATTTCCAATTGCATCTGTATTAGTAGGCTAACTGGGAGAACAAAAGTATACCGTGGAGAAGAATTCCAACTAGTGTTCCAGTTAGTTTGATACGGTTTATTTAGTTACGGGGAGATTTTCTCAACCTCATTTTTATTTGACCGTGATAGAATTTAGTAATACTACTAATACACATGAATGGTTATCAAAATAAAATTTAAATACATGAGTGATAATTATATGGATTTTGGATAGATAGCTAGGAATAAAATCATTGAACATGAGTGTGTTCGTAAGAGACATGCTCTAGACTCAATGTTCTGATCTGTGGCAGACTATTTATTTGTATTTATACTTGCCGGCTGCTTGGGCATACAAGTTAGTTGCAAGTATGCAGTTTATCATAAGGCGGAACACGATTTAATTGAGATATAGTGGTTACAAGTTATTAAAATCAGTTAGACCTGTGTCATATTACGAAGTGATGTGGTGCTTTTAAAAGAAAGCTGAGGAAATTAAAATACCGCTACTATGAACAGAATGATGTGTATGCACTTCAGAGTATACTTAAATTAATCGACAGAAATGCTTCATCTAAACATAAGTATTTCATGAATATAGAAAATAAAGCTCTACGTAGTAAAAGCCCAGAATTATCAATACTTCGACTTTTTAAATCCCGTGTAAAGTCAAATTCCCTTGGCACGACTAAATTCTTCATAGTTAACGGAAGCATTGTTAACGACCCGAATACTATATGCGAACAATTCAGCAAGAAATTCTCGCAGTGCTACAAGACTAGAACTGAAAGCTCCATCATTTCATTTCCAATGCTAACATCCAGACATCTGTCGAAAATTGATTTCACACCCTCCAACATCAAGCAGGCCATAACTACCCTGAAAAAGTCTTATGATGGTGGACCTGACGGGATACGTACATCATTTGTGAAATATGGAAGTAAAGAATTTCCACTATTTTGTTTGAAACTTTTCAATCTGTCTATGGAATATGGGACCTATCCATCTGCATGGAAAACATCCCTTATCACCCCTAGATTCAAAACAGGACCACGTAGTGATATTATTAACTATAGGCCAATTAATTTGACATCCGTGCTCTCAAGAACCATGGAAAAAATCATTCACAAACAGCTACTATCATTTTTACTTTCAGCTAGTCTGATCAGCCCATCCCAACACGGGTTCATGACTAAACGCTCATGTTTCACATCGCACCTGGAGTTTTTTGATCAAATTACCCAGAGAAGAGATGTTGGTCAGTCAGTGATAATTCTTTACTTCGATTTTAGTAAAGCTTTCGACAGTGTCTCACACAAACTTCTTCTTTTAAAACTCTCTTCATTTGGCATACAGAATCCCCTTTTATCTTGGCTCAAATCTTTTTTAGAAGAACGTAGCCAAATCGTTCGCTATGGATCTTGCTACTCTAAACCTGTAAATGTAACCAGTGGGGTTATACAAGGAAGTGTGGTTGGTCCATTGCTCTTTCTCCTTTTTATCAATGATGTGTGTTCCCTCTTTCAGTATGGTAAGCCTTTCCTTTTTGCTGATGACCTGAAAGT